AGGTATATGGGTTTAAAGTTGGACTTGCAGAAGTGATACAAATTTGGTTTTAGGAGGGGCCTTAGTTAATTTATGTGGGAGGAGACAATGCTGCATTTATATATCAGGTGCATCTAGGCACATAATCCTCAGGCACCCCTACCTGTCTCCTTCCCCTACTCCCCCATACCCCCTCCCCCATTCCATCCCAAAAAATAAAATTGATGCTTTTATTAACTGGATATTTAAGGCATAATTAAACACATCTAAAACCATATATTGGTATTTGATACCTATATATATATATATATATATATATATATATATATATACAGTGGCGTACTAAGGGGGGGCGGTGGGGCGGTCCGCCCCAGGTGCCACTCACTAGGGGGTGCCCGGGGCGAACTTTCACAGGGGCGGCATTTAAGGGACCGGCTGCTTACGAGAATATCCACACTTGTTGTCCATTCAGCAGCAGCATGTCCTCTGTTCTCGCGATCCGCGAGAGCGTTGCCGCAGGTTGCCATAGCAACCCGCAGATCGCGAGAACAGAGGATCCTGCTGCTGCTGGATGGGAAGCAAGCGTGCAGAGTTCTGGACCCTCTTCACTGCCCATTGATGCTGTGCCACCAGGGCCACCTGTCGAGGACGACGGGACGGGCAGGTAAGTGTCAGGGAGGAGTGGGGGGGCAAACCATACACACTGCTCACCTTCCCAGCATTTTTCCACACACTACACACACACTGCATACCCTACACACATACACTACACACATACACTATACACACACTGCATCTGCATACACTATACACTCACTGCGTACACTACACACATACACTATACACATACACTGCACACATACTGCATCTGCATACACTACACACATACACTATACACACACTGCATCTGCAAACACTATACACATACACTATACACACACTGCACCTGCATACACTACACTCATACACTATACACACACTGCATACACTACACACATACACTACACACATACTGCATCTGCATACACTACACACATACACTATACACACACTGCATCTGCATACACTACACACACACTGTACACACACTGCATCTGCATACACTACACACATACACTGTACACACACTGCATCTGCATACACTACACACATACACTGTACACACACTGCATCTGCATACACTACACACATACACTATACACACACTGAATCTGCAAACACTACACACATACACTATACACACTGCATACACTATACACTACCACACACTGCATACTCTATACGCACAATTCATCTGCATACACTACACACATGCACTATATACACACTGCATTCACTATACACACACATATACTATACACACATTGCATACACTATACACACATTGCATCTGCATACACTACACACATACACTATACACACACTGCATCTGCAAACACTACACACATACACTATACACACACTGCATACTCTATACGCACAATTCATCTGCATACACTACACACATGCACTATATACACACTGCATTCACTATACACACACATATACTATACACACATTGCATACACTATACACACATTGCATCTGCATACACTACACACATACACTATACACACACTGCATCTGCAAACACTACACACATACACTATACACACACTGCATACTCTATACGCACAATTCATCTGCATACACTACACACACCTCCGCGCACTGCATTCACAAGCACACACTGCACACTCGCGAGCACTGCATTCCTACTTCACGCAAAACACACTTATACATGTGTATATCTGGTATGTCTGTGTGTCTGTTTGTGTCTGTGTTTTGTTTGATGTGTCTGTGTATCATCAGCATGTGCCTGTGTCTCTGGCAATGATATGTATATGTTTGTATCTGTATGTGTGTCGAGAAATGTATCTGTGTTTCTATGTAACTCATGGAGTCAGCGCACAACCTTGTCTGTGTATCTGTATATTAATGCCAGTGTGTGTATAATAATGTATATACATCAACATTTAAATTCACACTACACGTACAACCCACCATCCATCAACACTACACATAAAAACACACCACCGCTGTTCAACCACACCGAAAAATGCACCTGCATTCAAATGCCAATGCGATGCAAACACACCACTCACACATACTCCCGCCACAAAAACATGCTTACATTAAAATATACAAACCTGCTCAGGTGCTGAAATACATTTAAAAAATGTGTGGTTGTTTTTATTTTAGTTGATAAAGAGGTGGAAGTGCCAGTATCAGAACCGCCCCACCAGCGCATATATATATATATATATATATATATATATATATATATATATATATATATATATATATATATATATATATATATATATATACATATTTCTACTTGTAATGTGTGGTTGAATCTGTGAGTATAGTGAGTGTATGCAACCATAATATTTACTCTTGCCTGAAGCCCTTGGTCTTTTTCCCACCACTCAACACCCTTGATCATTGACCCTTCTACGATTGATCTCTGGTTAACTCCCGATTCCAAGAGTGAAAAAATGCCAAAGCTCTTAACCTGCCTAGGTGGGATCCTAATCCTTGTCTGCATTGTAGAGCCACATTCCAGGAACTTGTTAGGCAAGAGGGGAATTGAGTGCCACAGGCTGCTGAACTTAAGGGACGTTTGTCCAAAATTATGGTAAAGAGCAGAGGTGACGTTTAAAGTAAAAGCATTAAGGATTATTAGTAGCATGCGTTCAGTGCTACCTTAAGGAGGCACAGGCTGTCATCTCAGGGGGCTCAATGTCCAGGTGACGGGTGCTAAGGGGGAGTACAGCGTTAATACATCAGATTGCCATTAGAAGCTTTCATAAATTGCATCCTCTTTCATTTCCTTGCTAGCAAAATAAAGTAGATGATTATGTTTAGCCTCTTCCATTAAGTCTGTATATGGTGTTGGTAAAATTGGCATTAAAGTAACATAAGGCGAAAATGCTTTCTCGAGACCAGTGTAAGAACAATGAGTTCACCATGCAATCCAATCCAGTGTATGTCTATTACTCTGCTATACCATTTTATGAACACATAGGACTGGCTAGTGTGTCACTCAAGCTGACCCACAAATATACAAGATCATTTAAGTAAAATCCTCATGTGATTGGTAATCTGACTATGTGCTTCCTCTGGAGTCTCCTAGATAATATGCATGATTCTGGAATTGGAGTTAAAGTTTTGCAATATATTATAACACAAATCAAATTATTTTATGTAAACCTCTAACACAATTTAAGATTCTGGTAGTTGCTTAAAAAATCTCTACATAATGCTTCTTCAACCCATCTAGCCTCCCTAATACACAAGTAGTATGTCCTGTCTAGGCCCCTGCGCTCTGCCAAAGACCTACGTCTATCCTCTTTCTGTACTTCCACCTCTAATGCTCGTCTTCAAGACTTCTCCTGGGCTGCACCTTTTCTGTGGAACTCCCTTCCCTTCTCCATAAGACTCTCACCCAGTAAACATTCCTTGAAAAAAACATTGAAAACTCACTTCTTCAGGAGAGTGTAACAATTAAACTGTTAGCAGCTTTCCCTCCCCGCACCCTGACTCCTCTCCTGCAACTGTCAAGAATGACCTACCAAGCCCTCAGTGAATACTTTTCTAAGAAACTACTTTTCTACTCCTACTTTTACCCTTTGTGTCACTATACCCAAATCCCTCTAGCATGTAAGCTCATTGAGCAGGGCCCTCAGCTCCTCTATTCCTATGCATCCAACTTGTCTGGTTACAATTATGTGTCTGTTAGTCCACCCATTGTACAGCGCTACAGAATTTGTTGGCATTTATAAATAATAATAATAATGATGTACAGTCTCTTCTCTTGGCAGTGACTGTCAATGAGTGGTAAAGCAATAAAGAGCAGTATTTGGTATGCCTGCAAGATTGCAACTTTGTCTTAATAATTTAGAAGTTTTATATTCACAGTTTTCAGTCTAGTTTGATTGCAATTTTCCTTCTCTGAGCTGATATGGTATACTCTCTCAATGAGTAATGGGTGCTCAGCATCATAGGCCATGGGGAGAGCTTTCAGAATCCAACATCATAATGTAGGAAGGAGTTCCTGAGGCATGATTGTTTCCAATCAAGTGCTAAATGCACAAAATGTGTATGATCGTAGTCTTGGGTTCCTGATGTGGTATTGTTCCCTCTCTTGATCTCCAGTCTATGCATTTATAAAATGAAGGAATAATGGTACTGCAGTTGTATTATCTTGTAGTGTGATACTGTTTATTTGGAGGAAATATGTACACTTGGATGTCTCAGGTACACCCATAAATCTAAGATTATTGCTAAGACTTCTGTTTTACAGATCAACCTTTTTGAGATAATTATGATATTTGGGTAGAAGGAGATTGCAACTGTTCCTGCCTGTCATTAATAATGGTTAAGTTTTTAATAAAGCTGTCTCAGAATATCTAATCTTCCACTAAGTGTTTTTATTAAAATCATATATATATATATATGTGGAAAATTTAATTTCATCCAGTTTATTGTCAAAATTTCAATTTTACTGCTGCCCTTTGTAGATGGTGATGGGGAGTCCAATACCCGGTACTCGGGACCATTCACCCTCTATCACAAATATATTGTAAGTAATTACACACATTTGCCACACACAAATACACACCTGCACACAATGGTATTACTCTACCATCTGTACTGGGGTATCAAGGGTCAGCCTGCAGTATGTGCACAAAGGACAAAATTCTACTGTTTAATATAACGTGGATCTTAGACCGTACCACCCAATTTACCAGAATCCTCAGTAGGGTATTGACCATATCCCTTAATGGCAGCTCCTCACTTATCTAAAACGTCCTCTCTCCAGATATGTGTGCTGGATATTACAAAATATATATCACAAAAGGAAAATATGCATTTCTTGTAACTGATGAAAATATGTTCCCCGTTCCTTTATTACCTCAAATGATCAAAAGAGGTACTGGTACTCTGTAATAGTGAGTGATCTCAGATAAAAAGCCCAAGGGTTTATTAAGAATGAAGCTTTATAGTCAGTGCTAATAAGACATCAGCATTTTTCTTATGAACTCTGCTAGAACTTTAAAAGAATGAGAAATATCATCTGGTAGACATTGTAGCTAATCACTCTTGTTAGCACATTATTATAAACCTGCATTAATGTGGAGCGAGAGAAAAAATGTGCTCAGTGTGTGATCATAAATCAAATATTTGGCATTTAATTTCAACATGCAAAATAAAACAATAGGGACTACAAGTACACCATTAGTTTTTAACTGCTTCAATACCAAGCACATCTTGCATGGCAATTATATTAAACAAAGCCAGAATGTGAATATAAAATAATAATAATAAAGTGGTTTATGGAGACAGATTGTTCTTCTGCAACACTTTATAAAATGAAACTACACAAATCAAATGTTTCATTTATTTGTTACAGAAATATTAGTTGTATAAAAAATGTTGAGATAATATTTGAATCTTGCAATTTACAGACTCCTAAGCAATAAGACAATGTTCTTTTTATTTTTTTATTATTAGCATTTATACAATACCAACATGTTCTCTGTGCTTCATGATTTTAAAATGGGGATATATGAAAAGTAATTTACACGAGAATTATAATAGTGACTAGTTAAGGATTAAAGGATATGATGCCTGTGTCGGAATAACCTAGTAAAAATGGTGTGTGGAAGAACCAAACAGTGGCAGGAGAGACAGTGAGCTGGGCTATGGAGACATGGGTTATCCAAAATACAAACGGTCCAGGCACTCAGGGGTGTAATAAAGCAATTTTAATGAACCTTTGTGTATATTACAAGCAGCAACTTTTCCACATTTTCATGCGTGATAAAGATCTTCTTGCTACTTGTAATATGCACAATGTTTCATTAAAATGCCTTATTATACCGCTGAGTGCCTAGACTTTTTCTACTTTGGATTGTCATAGAGGGGTCTGCAGGCCCTGGTCTGAAATTGTACCTTGTGGTTATAGAAAGTAACCGGCTTCCTATCTTATGGAGGCGAGGGAACTAATGAGCGCAGTGAAACGTCACCCAGGAAGATGGTAAGAGGTGTGTTTTCAGTGAATGGACTGGAGGAGAGGTTGATGGAACTGAATAGTCCAAAGGAACAGGGCAGCCCTTGTAAAATCTTGTAGGCGAGAGTTTGCAGTTACGCTATGGAGAAGTTGTCAGGAGAAGGTCACTTGCAGAGGAAATGGAACTAAAAGTGGTAGAGAGGAAATGTAGTGAGTAGTAGAGTTGGGAAGGACTTTGTAGGTTATTGTTAGCAGTTTGAATTGGATCATGAAGGGTTTAGAAAGCCAATGAAATGTTTGATCGCTATTCTAACACTTCACTCCTTTGCCATTCAGGAAGATAGATCTAGCTGCAGGATAAATTACAGACTGAAGAGGGACAATGCAGATATTTGGAAGGTCAATGAGCAGTGAGTTGCAATAGTAATGTAGGGAATTGTATGCATGAATAAGTGCCTTCTTGAGTTAGAAAAGGGCAAACGCAGGCCATATTTTTAAGATGGGAGTTACAGTATTTAGAGACAAACTGGGTGTAAGTAGAAAAGATACGACCTGAGCTGAAAGTAACAACAAGGCAGTGAGTTTGAGGGGTTGGGGTGATAGGTGTCCCAGGGAAATTGAGGAAGAATTACTATTTGGAGGGGTGGAGGAGAAGATGAGGAGTTCAGTTTTAGAAAATTGGAAGACATCCAGTGAGAAATGGAAGAGGTGCAGTTTGTGACACGCTCCAGGTATCAGCAGCATATAGATTGTAAAAAAGCCAAATAAGTTAATACATCTACTAAGTGAGGCAATGTAAATTAAGAATAAAAGATGACCAGGAACAGTGCCTTGGAGAACTTTAAGTAAGACAGATAGTGAGGAGGAGGTGGCACCAAATAAAGACACTAAGTGAGCATTCAGAAAGGATGGTACAGTGTCACAGTTTAAAGTTTTGGAGGGTTTGTAGAACAGTGGTCAACAGTATCAAATGCCGTATGTTGAAGAGCATTAAGAGAGAGTAGATTTAGAGTAGAGAGTAAACTTTTAGATTTGGTAGTTATTAAATTGTTAATCACATTGGTAAGGGACAGATTGAAGAAGATCAAGGAGGGAGTTAGTATTGAGAAAGTGAGTTAGACAGGTAAATACAAGATACTCAACAAGCTTAGAAGTGAAGGGGAGCTGTGATATGGATTGGTGGTTTGAAGGAAAGGTAGGGTCAAGAGCTGCTTCTTTTAGGATGGGTTTAACAATTACACGTTTGAGGGAAGAGGGTCGATGGCAGTAAACAAAAAAAGGTAATAACATGCATTGGGATAGGACATAGGGAAAAGATTTTACATGGAGGAGAGCATTTGGTGGGTGAAAGGATAATAGACGTTTAGAGACATCTTGCTCAGAGACAGGGGGAAAGGAGGTAAAAGTGGAAGAAGGTACAGAATGGGTAATGGATGGTACAAGGAAAGAATGGAGATTGCGTAAAGGGGGTAACAAAAAATACATAAAGAAAAACAAATACATTTTAAGTATTTGTAAATAACATGATGATATTTTGGAGACTTCAGTTTTCTAAAAAAAAAAAATGCAACCAGATACAACAATACAAAGAATTGCATGATTCTCTTGCAGCCTGCACAGAACTCCTGTAGTGTGGTCAGTGTACTCAGGCCCTCAATCCCTTCACTTCCCAAGTTGGTTGCTATTTTCAGACTCTCTGCAGAAATGAAGAAGAACATAATGGAGCCTTGATGTTGATGTAGTCTTGGTCTGATCGTAGCTAATTAGTGTGATAATGGCGTTTGATGGATTTGACACAAACACCATTGTCACACTCCACAGCTCCGGTAGCAGTCATAGCAGGACGAGAGAATACTTCTACTCAATATATCAACTATTTACCTGAAATATAGAGAACCAAATATAAGACGCTATTTAATCAATCAATAAATAAACTATGGAATTTACAACCACATGAAAAATATTCACTTTAAGCACATTATGATAACTTTACTTACAGTGATCATATATACATAAAGGGCAAGTTTACAAAAACAAAAATAACAATTGTCTTAAATTAAAATTTTTGAATAAACTTTTAAAATAAAAAATTCAAAATATTAAAATATCAAAAAGTATATCAAAATATCCAAATGTTACAAAATTTACTTTTTCCCCAAAATTAAATCGTTTAAAAAGTTTATGCACAAATAATAATTTTGCAAAAGCTCATCATACAATATTACGTCTAGGAATATGTTCTGTTTTAAAATAATGGAACAAATAATATATAACATGCAACATGCTCTAGATGTTATAATTACCCAACTTAATGGCATCGATTTTATTGACTTTAGAAGGATGAAAAAATAAATTAGGTCCAGTCACTCAGGATTGTTTCTGAAAGGCAGGTTTATGGGAACAAAAAGTGCAACATTTCGGCCTACACAGAGGCCTTTATGATAAAGGCCTCTGTGTAGGCTGAAACGTTGCACTTTTTGTTCCAATAAACCTATCTTTCTGCAGCAATGCTGAGGGACTGGACCTAATTTATTTTATCTACTAAACTGGGTTTAGCCAACCCTGGCCTTGATAAGCACCTGGATTCCTAAGTGTGAGTGCTGTATCCTCCGTTTGTGAATTACTTTAGAAGGATGAAAAGCTGATGTGACTTTGATGAATTTAAAACATGTTACTTTAAGATATACAAACGTGCTTCTTTAACCACTGAGCTATCTTACATACATTAAATGGATGTGATTTGTTGTAAGATATTTGTGCACCAGTTGCCGTACCACTAAATAGAATCTTGGTATATAATGTTCTGTTCGAATAACAACGACAATTATCCAAATAAAAATCCTCACTGATAAAGCACTTTTTTTTTTAAAACCACAGTAACACCAAGCATTGCAATGTGGCCAAAACGTTTCCAATCTGTGGATAGGTGTAAAATATTGACAAACAGGACTGGGATGAGTTAAAAGGGTACATTACAAGAGCTGTAACAACACGGATAATACTAAAACTGATGTAAGCCAGCAACATTTGCTAGAACAGTATTTAGCTTGGGTAATTTCTAAGGAGTATGCTTATTCAATATGTTAATGAAAACCTTAATATGATAGACTCCATTAAAATAATGTTTATCAGAGATGTGCATTACAATCCCATTTAATGTGCAAAATGTTTCATGTTTAGATCAACAGAATGTAATTAACTTTTTTTTTTAATTACCTAGTTGTATATTAACTCATGTGTATTAAATCACATTTACATTATTTTATCCTATAGAAACCTTTTAACACAAAGATGTACATTTTGATATAAATTGGGTCTCCAAACCTCCACTATTTGCCAAATTATTTTCTAATCCAAGCTAGATTGCATTATAAGTGATACATTTAATTCTATTTTGCCGATAACCCAAAATGGACCCAACATTATAACTGCACTCCTACAATTGTTCTCTGAATTAAATGCTTCAATATTTGTCATTTGAAATGAGCACCTACTGATATACCACACATGCATCAAATTACTAAAGTAAGGGGTTTAATGCAAATCTCAGTGGTAGTTTGTGTGAAGCTATCTTTATGGATGCTCAATAAATATGGAAATCTACATGGCTTTGCAAGCCTTCGCATATTTATATTGTGATTTGTATCTTGAGAGCAGAACTCTATATTTTTATATGTATAATAAATATTTTGTTTTGGGGGAGATTTCCTATTTTAAGATAGCTTTCTTTTTTTATGTAATGCTTTTAAATTGTCAGTGTATTGTCATCTACCAGGTCTACGGGAGTCTATCATATATACGTAATACCAGCACCGTTCACTGCTTCTGAGTTACCTTTCTTGAAACATTCCCAACTTTTTAAACAATTGTTGTAGATGTCCAATAAATTAAATATTAATGCTATTTTAATAATTTATACTATAGAGCAGTGGTGAAACTGTATAAAAACCTCAATTAAAATGACTATCAAGATTGCGTATTAATTCTTGTGATCTAGTTTGAGAAGCCTCATCTCTTCCAATGCTAATCAGTGAGCAAGATGTGAATTATCATGAAGGTATTACAATTAACTTATTGTAAAGCAATGGAGACCTCGGAGATAGACAACCTTTCAGAAGAGTTCCATCGCGCAATATGGACTACGAGAACACCTACAAGAGTCCAGATCACATATTCCTGCTAATAGCATGATCATTCCCCTTAAAGAACACATGACTTAATATTTAATATCCTCAATTTACATATTAAATAATACTGTAAATACCATTAAGACCGTAAACAAAATGATTGTTAATATAAACATTATCCAAAAATCCAACGCACAATAATCACAAATATAAATTATTGCAATTAGAGATGCTTAATTACTGAATTATGGTGAAAAAACAAAACTCTAATAAAGGGCATTGTGCCAAGAATTTCATTGGTTTCATCTATTTCCCATGATTAAGGAAACAAAGAATTACATAATTATATAGAAAATAAGCCCAGTTTGTCCAATATATCTTCATAGTCATTACTTGTGATTACAAGGGTCCCCTGTACATCTGGTCAGTTCTTCTAGCTAATAGCAATACACAATATCTAATGAAATGTACTGGTTTTTTTTCTTATTCCTCATAAAGTTTGTGAAATGATACAGTAATTAACTAGAATATGGACAAGCCATAATTATCTGTAGTGATATTGCTAAGATAAGTCATCCTAATTATATGAAAGCAATCATTATACAACCATCCATCATCAATACTCTAACACAGCAGTCATATGAAGGTTTGTGACAGCTATATATAAGCTTGATGTGTATTGAAAAGGTTTTAAATCTCTATCAGTATTACATTTCCTCCAAGGATCTGATACTTGTTTTAAAAATTGAAAGAATATTTTGTTCATAGTAAATCATTTTTTATTGATAAATATATATATATAATCAATTGCTTTTTAATAAGCCTTTTTGTAATAAAGTATTTTCTAAAAAAAACCATATACATTAATCCTTCGGATTCATGCAGCAAACCTTCTGTTGAAGAGCAATTCAGATCATTAGAACTATATTCTTCAATGTTGACTTAGAAAATATGATGCATGCTATTTTGAAATGTGGAAATAATTCTACATAAACCTGCTGAAAAGATATAGTATTGATTTTACTTATGAAATATGTGAAATATATTTTACTCGTTTATGTGGATTTGAACATAAATCTGCAGTCAACATGTTCACCAGTTTTCTAGATAAAGCCTTTTGCTCACTCTTACGTGGATTTGATTTTAAAAGTGTGTGTGTGAATATATCTGATTTTGTTTACAAAGATGTCATTTTCCATAGCTCAATGTAATTTGTTTATTTGCATTATTTTGTCATAATCTGATGTTGGATTTCATTTGTTTTTGTTTTTTCTGTAGTTTTTGTCTTTCATATAAAGATGTATTGCTTGTAAAGTTTTTAAATCCTTGAAAGATAGCGGGCAGTAAAACGATAATTCATGCAGTGCTGCAGCCCATACTCTTGGGGCTACACCAGAACATAAGTGCCCCAGACTGCTGCTTGGGAGTATAACTTCCACCAATCTATGCCATATATCAATATGTTGAGTTTATCAGGGCTATTTACCAACAGGAGAATTCAACGTGAAATTCAGAATTTAGGCCAAAGTATATGTTTTAAATACTGTAAATGAGCTCACGGGGTTCTTCCTGAAGGTCACATACTGAGCTGCAATTTAAAAATAATCATGATTACATGTATATGGAAAATATAGTTACAAATTTGAACATAAAAAAAAAAAACAATAAACATAGCTACACTAACATGAAAAATTGTGAATTAAAATTTGCACCGAAAATATCTATTGCATGAAATGTGTTAGAAAATGTTTCAGATCAGTTGAATTACAAAAATTGCTTTATTTTTCATATATATTTATGTAGTTATAGCACTTAGCTTGCAACTTTGATGGTAAATGATTACTACATTTCCTAATAGTAAACTCAAAACAAGTACAAAATGTAATCTTATAACGTATATGTTTTGTGTATAACTTTATCAATACATAACGTGTATTCTTGGTCTGCTTACAAAACAAACGTATGGTATGTTACATTGCATTGCATTGCGGAATAGATACACATCTATATTCCCCTATATCCAAACACTGTATTTCATCTACAATTTACTTTTATATAATTTTCTACAATTCTATTCTGATGCATTTTAATTGGATTTTAAAAATAGCAGGTATTTATTTGTGTAAAGTAACTTAGCTCTTTCAATACCAAGTGAAAAAAATATTAGCATTATTTGAAACAAGGGATGCATGGGTAGAATATAGATATATAATAAGACAGCTATTTTGTTTTAGGGATTGCTGTACAGTCAAACATAAAAAAATAATTTTTCAAATTTACACCATTTTCACAAACCATTTATTCATTCATCTTTTTATAGAAATATAGGAAAAATGAAAAGGTTTTAACAGCATAACTCTTGTTTTGCAATATTTCGCTTAAGGTCTGAAAATGAATTTATAGCAAAAAATACATGTTTTTTTCTCACATACAGTAGATTACGTATATACATAAAATGGTCATGTACCCTGCTAGTAGGCATTTGTAATGAGTCGGAAAAAAATAGATTTAAAAAAAGGATATCTGTATTTAAGCATAATGCCCACATACAGTAAGTAAATTAAATTTAAGTATTTCTAAAATAAAGGTATTTAAAATGTTTTATAGCTATCTCTAAAAACGCGAATTTTACGCTAAGAGGCATTTGACAGAACACATTCACCCCCCCCCCTCCCCCCGACTGTAGGAATGGTATGATCCTTGAAGTTTCCTTTACTGTTCGGAAGAAAGGTGTTACTGTCATGTCTGCATATTTGCAGACATTAAATGGGTGGAGTACGTTCTTGGAGAAATAATTAGCTTCTTTTCATGCTAGTAATTGTTCCTAGAGAATAAATGTAGGCAATTGATGCTTTATGCAAAGCAAATTAAAGTAAAAATCATGTATGCTTGTTTTAGTAGAACGAGTTATAGTGGCATTGATTTTTTTTTTTTTTTTTGCTTCTTCCATAGACATTGCTGTTCAGTCAAACATAACTGCTCCTGTTTTTACAGGCTTTGAATTTTCCAGTGGGTGGAGGTCTTGGTCTGGGTCACTGATTCCTTGAACCTGGGTTCTATCATCAATTCATACCACTTTTAAATTACCTTTTCCTCTGGTTCTCCTTTTTTGGCTTGTCCCCACTCACATTTTGTTTCCTCTACCTTTTCACCTCCATTTCATTTTTATTTATTTCCATTATCACCCACAATTGCCTCAAGTTAGACACCTTGGGGGGATTTTTGTCTTTCGTTTTCCCAAAAATTATGATCATTGCCATGTTTGTTGCAATAAGTTTCCAACAAACCAGTAATCTCTAAAATGGTTGACGAGCTACTCAGAGTTTATCAAATAACCCTATCTGATATTTTTTGTTTTAATTATTGAGGAGGGTCAGGCAACTTTCGTAAACCCAGATGTTGTGGACTACGTCTCCCCTGATGCTTTGCCAGCATTATGGCTGTAATAGCATTATTGAAACAGTAGTCCGCAACATCTGGATTGTCAAATATTTTTATATAATTTTTTTTTTTTTTAAAGCATGAATTGTGAGAAATTCAATATGAATTTAAGATTTTAGGCTTGAAATTTCAAATTCACTTTGAATTCCCAGTAACACAAAACAGGCTGTATTATTTATCAAAGTGAGAATTGTCTGAAATTCAGAATTAATTCAAAGTGAATTTCAAACGTAAGGCCAAAGAAGTCAGAATGGAAGCATAGTTAAATTAGAGAATTTTTTCTTTAACTACTTTGACCTTAACTCTGGAATTCACTTTGAATTCATGATAATCCTCACTTTGGTAAATAATACAGTCTGTTTTGGCCCAGTGCATGAGGATAATTCCTTGAATATAGGAAAAATTAGAAGATGACTGAAAATTCTGGTCAAGGTATCAGAACAGGAAAACTAGGTGAGTTGGATATTTTCCTAATTCAGCTATCTTGGTCATACCAGAGCAATTCCCATGCCAACCGTCTACTATTCCTTAATAATAAGTACAATGTAAGATGTTTGAATTCGTAATATAGACATAACAAAAAAATGATATAAGACAATTTTAACATTTCACATATTAAAGAGCAAATCCGTTTTACAATACTCTGTACTTAGCTGGAACAAAATAATGTATGTATAATACATTTTATCTAGTTAATGTCATCTTTGTCATTTTTGTTCTTACCTTTTTTTTAAAGTTGATTTTTCTTTCTGGTTTGGCTTCATGTTGCAGAATGATTGTTTATAATAGCATTATAAAAAAAAACTGCTAGCATAAACAGCTGAATAATAGTCTGGTTTTGTATCTTGTCAAGTTAATGGACTTGCTTGTGATTAATGTCGAGATGTGCATCTAAGCAGTGCTTGGGGCTTTAGTCGCACAGGAAATATTCCAACTCCCTTTATGTAAATCTGAACTTTTGAGTAAACAATCCTGTCTTTCTGATAAGTCACGTTACAATACTGATTAACAGACAGAGTTCTGCACACACTTAGATTGAGCCATCTCTTATCAAATCATTTTTTATTTTTTTTTATCTCTTTCAAAAATATGTGCGCACTGCTCAATTTCTAGACAACATAGTCTGGGGAGAAATCTGCTGGGTTTACATAAATCTGTAAATGCATTTTTTTAGAACGTTCTCATTATTGGACCAAATATGTGAAAGTAGTTGGAATATTTAATGGCATGATCTCTGGAGCTCACCCAGAGTGACTATTGAGTACTTGGTCACCTCTCTTACTAAGGCCCTTCTTTCCTGATTGCTCAGTATGGCTGGGTGAACAGCTGTAGGAAGAGTCCTTGTTGTTCTGAATTTATTTCATTTAAGAATTATGGAAGCTATTGTACCCTTAAAAGTCTTTTTATTTAGGGGGGCGTGGCCAACTGAGCGACTGCACGGACGGCTCTAAGCGAAGCTTCGTGCTCGATAACAGAAAAGAGACCATTTGGCCAGAAATACAGGCTTACCGACTACCACATCTCACCCCCCCACCAGCAGACACAATGGGGCGGAAGAATAAGAGAGCCCAGCACCCGGAGACACCTCGTTTTCAAGATATACGGCTCTCCTTTGACAGACCCGTGCCGAGGCTGCAAACAAAGATGGTGCCGGAGGCGAGCAAGGGCCAGGACCAGGAGACGTCGGAGGACTCCCATGAGGAGGATTAACTCCCCACGCCACAATCAGGCGGAGAATCCGACGCACCTGAGTCAGATGAGGACTCAGCCCCAGCCACAAAAGGGGACATAAAGAGGCTCCTGCTGGACCTCAGAAAGGTATGGAGGGAGGACCTCCAGAAGGTGCAGACAGAGGTGGGGGTAGTCCATACCAAGGTCCGGGCTATAGAAGCAAATGAGACACATAGGAATAATTTGATGCAAGAGACTAAGGCACAGATGGAAGGCTTGGCATGACAAGTGCGGCAGTTACATCGCACAGTGACAACGTTAGAAATGCGTCACAGACGCAGAAACATACGCCTCAGGGGGATTCCAGAGACGATAGGCACAGAGAACCTACTACAATATACACAGACCCTCATAGACTCAATGGGAATCAAGGGGGGGGTCAACCCCACCACTGATCACTTCGGTGTTCAGAGTCAGGAAATCCCCAGCGGCGCCAGAGGGAACCTCCAGAGACGTAATAGCAGTGACACGCGACGTGACAGTCAAGAACACAATCATGACACTCTCCAGAACACAAGGAAACATAACATACAGAGGGAGCACAGTGGCAATCTACAGCGACATTCCGTTCCCAGTGCTGATGGAGAAACGCAAACTGACCCCTGTGGCAAAGAAACTACGAGACCTCTCAATAAAATACCGCTGGGGGCAGAGGGATCCCTAGAAGTGACAGCTGGTGACAAGGCGTAAACACTGACGTCGGCAGATGACCCCAAGGAGCTGTACAGATGCCTGGAACTGCGTCCCCAGCCTCAAATAGAGACTCCCGCTAAACAGCACCAAACAGGCAAAAAAGAGGCGAACACTTACAAAGCTCAGAGACTGGCCAAACCTTCAGAGGGGGCTACATCCTGGAGCTGAGACACAACCTACCTCCACACCGCTGCTACTGAGCGAAACCCTACCCAACCCACACGCCCAGAGATCAACATACAAGTATAACAGGCAAAGACAGGATAGCCGAATGAGCCTCCAGAAAGGAATAGCGGCGACCACCAGCCACAACAGAGCAATCCGACACTGCTCCTCTCCAAATACCCCCAGAGAGAAGCAATCAGAGACGTAAAAATCACCTACCATTGTAGATATATATTGTGATACTGTAGTGTTTTTCCTTTTTTCTGTACGCAGAATACCATATATAAAATGACAAGTTATGTCTCACTTATAAAAATTCAATAAAATATAAATTGAAAAGTCTTTTTATTTTATTTTTTTGTAAATTAAAGTTTTGTTGTCATTTGTCAGCGAACATTTCATATCTTTTTAGTTTGCGGTAAAGAGGTAGGACTCGCAGGTCCAGGGCATGTAAAGATAATCAAGCAAATAGTTTAAAAAGATAATCGTTACCATAAACATCATGAAAGTTGCATAACAACATATAATGCAAAACAGAACAAAGCAACATATGTTCAAATAACGTGGGAAGTATCTAGGTGTCCTATGGAGTCTTGTATAAGTGTGCGCTTATCGGGGTTCATTTTAACTTATGGTAGCGGTGTGGCTCCCGTTCCCATTCCCACTACCGTAGGCGCGTCCTCTGGTGTAACAGTACACTAGATGGCTTCTGTGAGTTCCCATGTGGATCTTAATTCTAGCCCATCTCTCCCGCCCCGTGTGTGGTGCTTCAGGTTAGAGCGGTGAACCAGGGTGTGGGAGTGGCGGTCACCAGCCACCCGAGGTTCCCATCTAATTCTGGGTCTGCCCCTGAGTGTCAACCTCCTCATCCCCCATGTCGTTCACCTGTCGTCTATATGTCAGCAAGTCTTGGAAGTCTGGGCAGTAGACTTCTACTAACCAGTGTGTCTATATGTCTAAGTACATTTGTGAGTGGCCCTGTGCTGTAAACGTCAAGTTTTCCAGTCCCAATAGTTCCTCCATTTTCTCAAACGAGGTTGTTAACAGAGGGGGGTGTCTGTCTTCCAATACAAGGGCAGGATGTGTTTTGCTGTGTTCAGTATCCGTATAGTTAAGGATTTATTATATTTGGCTGTCGGGGTTGTAGAGCAGTGTAAGAGGTATGCAGTTGGCTTGAAGGGCGGGGGTTGTCTGAGAACTTTTGTACCACCCTACTGATCGCTTGTCGGTAGGGGACCACCTTTGGGCATTCCCACCATATGTCCAGAAATGTGCCTGCCCTAGTGTGGCATCATTTAGGTCTGGGGTCATTTTCTGCAAGATTTGTGGTGTTCTATACCACAGGGTCAAAACTTTGTATGCTGTATCTTGGGTTTTACTTGCCAGTGCGAAGTGGTGTGTAAGGTCGCATATTTTGACCCATTATTGTTCTGTATAAGTGTGACCTGTCGTTGTGTCCCATTTACCCATGTAGGGAGGTGGTGGTTGTTCCAATTGTGTAGGAGAAACGTGTATAGGTGGGAGATGGCGTGTAAGAGTGGGTCCGGGTCTGTCCCCAGGTATTCAAATGAGGTAAAAGCCCTGTTGAGGTCGGGTTTCTGTGGGATGCTGTTCAGGAACTGCCGGATTTGCTTGAATTTCATTTATTTCATTTTATGATAGTCTTTATTAAAAGAGTTTCAGAAACCTATATAGAGAACCGTGCAGAAATACACAGAGGAATCTTCAATGCAGCCAATTTTTTTGTAGTCTTCCCCAGACACAATATTGTGTCTGCACTCTGCAGCTGATTCCTTTGACCTCCTGACTTGGTTTTTGCTCTGTGTGTAAAGCTGAAAGACGTTATCTAGACAGGTGTGTGCCATTCCAAAATATGTCCATCTATTGTATGTATCACAGGTAGACTCCATTCAAAGTGTAGAAACCTCTAAAAAGGATCCAAAAAGGATCTAAGATAAATTTCAAGACTCATAGAAAAGATGTTGAAGACTTTTGTCAATGTGATATTTCCTTTTTTCTGGCTTCCACTATGTCATTATGGGGTATTGAGTGTACCTTGATGTGAAGAAAAAAATATTACTTGAACTATTGTAGCACAAAGCTGAAACATAAGAATGTAAAAAAAAAATGAAGTGGTCAGAACACTTTCTGAAATGTGAAAAAATAGGAAGTTAAATTTCTAGAGCTTGTGATGTAGGTAATAAAGGCAACTGGAACATCCCAAACCAGAATCTTATCCGGTCAGAGAAACAATGTGTACAGATAAAGGAAGCAGTGCCTAGGGGGATCCTCAGTGATATTCTGATATGAAATGAGACAAGCAAACAGAGGGAGACTTTATGGTGTAGTAGGTTGGGAGTTATAGTGAAGATCAAAAGAAGAAATACACTTACAATATGTAGAGCTACCAGTGACTTCTACTTATATGCACCTGGGTGATAAAATCCACACCTAAGGATGTTGGTCCTGTGATTATATAATATAAACAGAATGAATACAAATATAGTATATGTAAGGATTTACAGGTGTGTACAGTATTGTGTGTAAACATATACACTCCCATTTATTGGAGCCTGAACATAGCGCCCTACAGATAGTGTGAAGTAGTACAATCCCCTCTCTTGGATACAGTCATAGGAAAAAGAAAGCACACTCTCTTTGAATTTTATGGTTTTACATATGAGGACATCATAACAATCATCTGTTGCTTAGCAGGTCTTCAAATTACGTAAATACAACCTTAGATGAACAACATCACATAACATATTCCATCGTGTCACGATTTATTAAACAAAAATAAAGCCAAAATGTAGAAGCCATGTGTGGAAAAACTAAGCACACACTTACTGCTTCCATAGGAATTAAGAGGCTAAGTGGCAGACAGGTGCTGATAATCAAATGCACCTGATTAATTGTCATCAGCAAGTGTGATCACCTCTAGAAAAGTCAAAGTTTTATCAGTTTGCTGGTCTGGAGCATTCAGGTGTGTGTTAACACAATGCCAGGGAGAAAATACATCAGCAATGATCTTAGAGAAGCGATTGATGCTGCCCTTCAAACTGGGAAGGGTTATGAGGCCATTTCCAAACAATTTCAAGTCCATTATTGTATAGTGAGAAAGATTATTCAAAAGTGGAAAACATTCAAGACAGTTACCAGTCTTCCCAGGAGTAGCTATCCGAGCAAATTCACCCCAAGGTCAGACCGTGCAATGCTCAGAGAAATTGCAAAATACCCAAGAGTTACA